GTGATAGAACAGCTAACAGTTAATAGCCAAGCAGTAGGCTGGAAATTCATTATCTCATTTTTCCTCAAACAACCCAGTGAGGTGGGTACTCTTATCCCAGTTTTACAGAATAAGAAATAGCCTTAGAGAGGTAAGGGAGGCCTTAGACAGGAAATTCTCAAACCCCACTGCTCCAGGTGGACTTACTCTGGCCTGAACAGACTCTTCAGTTCCATGCATCTTTGCTCATTACTCCCACTGCTGGAATATTCTCCCTGCCCCCCATACACCTCACCTCTGTTTGAATCCTCCTCATTGGTTAAAGCGCCAGCTCAAATTCTGTCCATGAAGGTCACTGCTCCGTGATGTTCATCAGCCACACTTGCTTTCTCCTCTGAACTTGCATGAACCTTACCACATCCTATTTTGTATTATGGCACTCTGTGTGCATGGCTGTATAATCAGCCTGTAAGCACCTGGATTGCTGGGATTGTGTCCTGCACATCTCCATATCCTCAAAAAAAATCCTGTATGTAGCACCCAGGGAGCCCCCTGACCAAGGCCTGCAAGAAGCCCTTCCAGCAAGATGGAGAGCTCTAGCGGCAGCTGTTCAAGCCCGAAGTCTTCATAGCTCCACATGTAATTCATTATAATAGCAGAAGAGAAGTACCCTTGAATGCCTGGAATTATTCAGGAGCCAGGGGGGATAGTCCAGAATTCTCATTTGTCATCCTTATCCATGCAGTAAACCTTTATTGCTGAGAGACAGCAAATCAGTTCCCTGCTCCATGTCTGTCTCCAGCAGAAAGTACCTCCCTCACAGCTCCATTGTGAGGGTCAAGTGAGGCAACAGATGAAGTGGTTGTGCACATGTAAGATATTCTTTGTGAAGACAGAGCAGTCAAGGTGCTTACAGGCTGATTAGGACAAAAACATGTATACAAGTTTACCGTAATACAAGGTAGAATGTGGGAAGGGTCATCAGGGTATAGGATACCATAGGAAAATAGAGTTTCTCACACATGGAATATATTTGGCAGGAGGAGCTCTGGTGCAAAGGCTTTGCAGGTCAGTTAGACTGGCAGGAACAGAGAAGATCAGTGAGGCACAGGAAAGCCTTGGTTCTGCTCCAAAGGGATTTTCCACTCTCTTGTATCAGGAGCATCCTCACTGCTCTCCTGGGATCACGTGGTCAGTCAGTTGAGTGTTTCACATGTACAGGGCACCCCAAGTGCTAGAGAGGAAGAAGCCCAGTCTCTGCCCTCTAGTACTTGGGATGATAACTACTGCCAGGGATTATGATCATCACCTGGTGTCAGAGCTGGTTCCAAGAGGTCTGGAGGCTCTCAAACCTCCAAGGGCTTATTTTCTAAGAGAAAGAGTAGACTATGAACACTAACACTTATTCTACTATGCAGAATGCAATAAGTGGCTTAAGAGAGTTGAACCTACTTCTCAGAATGTTCATAGGAGGGTCATTTGCTGGAAGGATCAGGCTGGTCTTCATACAGAAGGCAAGTGTGGAGCTCTGAAAAATAGCCTAGGGAGTTGGGAGGATGGTGCCCTCAGGAAAACCTGGGGAGATCAAAGAAAGTGACCCAATGGACATGTCCCCAACAAGAATAGGACCTTTCTTGCAGCAGAGAATAGGCAATAACAACTTGTAAAAATGCTGTTTCTGTCTAAGAGCCTGCTAATATCCTAGAGAGGATTTTGCATATATTATCTCTAATCCTTAAAACCACTCTTCAAGGTAGGCACAACCCCCACTTTACAGATGAAGAAATGAGGTTAGGACAGGATTTGCCCAAAGCCACAAAGCCAGTTGATGGGGAAATCAGAAGTCAGACCCACATTTGCTTGGTTCCCTTCCAAGTGCATGAGAAAAACTTCAAGAGGTACAGATGCTTCCACACAAAACAAACCAAGATGGACCCAGAACTACCACTGCCCTGCCTGTACAACATGAGCACCACCCACTGCATACCTACTCCCAAGCCTTTTCAAATCTGGTACCTACTTTCTACTGTTCCACTTCACTTGGCCCACCCTGTGCCCCACCCCCTACCTCCTCCATCCCAGTTTCACCCACTCCTAAAAATGGTCTCCCCACCCCAATCCCCACTTTTCTCTAGCAGAAGGCCCGAGACATGTATGCAGAGGAGCGGAAGAGGCAGCAGCTGGAGAGGGACCAGGCTACAGTGACAGAGCAGCTGCTGCGAGAGGGGCTCCAAGCCAGTGGGGACGCCCAGCTCCGAAGGACACGCTTGCACAAGCTCTCGGCCAGACGGGAAGAGCGAGTCCAAGGCTTCCTGCAGGCCTTGGAACTCAAGCGAGCTGACTGGCTGGCCCGTCTGGGCACTGCATCAGCCTGAGTGGGGCTGGTCACCTGCCACTTTGCCCTGCCCTCTGCCTCCAGGGCCCCACTCCCCTTCCTTTTCTTGGTGAAAGGCATCTCCTTTCCTGATAATGAATTGTGTTCCCTTTGCTTGGCTGGGGAGCGCCCCCCCCAGGCCAGGTCTGCTGGCCATAGATACCTTTGGGATGCCTGGGACAGGCTCCTGGGGAGGATTGAGGGTGAAAGTCTCCCACGAGTACACTAAACCCAGGTCTGGTCACCAATAGGGTTTGGAGACAAAGGGCCCCAACTTATCAGCTGCCTGTCTCTTAGATGCACTTTGTTTTTCCACCAGCACATCCTTCAACACAGAATTTCAGGGAAGAGTTCTCCCCAAAACCCTAGCTCTTTACCCATCCATTTTAGCCTTCCACCCAGCTTCCACAAAAGATTTGGCTCTACCTTGGATCTGCTAGTAAATAACTAATAGGCAGCCAGTTATTTGGGTAAGGAAAAAAAGGGGCGGGAGAGACAGAAAATTTGCCCATCTGCTGCTCCTCCCCCTTGGCTCTCCACCTGGGATTTGCTATTGAATCTCTACCCCTCTCCCACCACGCAGTACTGATTGCTCACTGAAAGACTCAGCACCCCCAATGGTGTGCGGAAGCCAGGCGGGCGATTACAATCCAATTACCTATTGTCGACTCAGCCCACACAAGCTTTTCTCCTCCTCTTGCAGGGCATGGGGCCAGGCTCCACTCCCAAGTGAGACTGGCCCCTTCCATGGTATAGGGTAAGAGAAGGGCCTGTAGGCCCTGGTGAATCGAATCCAGCACAGGCCTTCTCCCCTGTAAGACAACAGGACTGAGCAGAACCAAACACTTCTCTCAACTGACTCTGCTCCCTGCCCTCACCATCTCAAACTCTGATTCCCACTCCACTCTTCGAGGTTTCTCTCAGCTTTTTGATCTGGCTCCCGATTTATTCTTGGCATGGCAAAGCTTGTTCTAGGTCCTCTGCTTGTGAGGGTCAAAGCTGTGTCCTTTTCCTTACCTCCCTCTGCCAGGACTTGCTGCAGAGCTGCTGAGAGGATTAGTGCCTTTGAAGAGCTGTCTGCCTGAGCAACTCCATTTCAGGTGCCCCACACCGGCAAGTACCAGCCAGTAACACCAACCAAATGCTACTCTCTTTAGTAAAGTCCATTTTACTTTTACTTTTTGAGACAGAGCCTCACCCTATCCGGGCTGGTCTCGAACTCATGACCTCAGGTGATCCGCTGGCCTCACCCTCCCAAAGTGCTGGAATTACAGGCATGAGCCACTGTGCCAGACTTCCCATTTTACTTTCTGCAAGCTGTTTCCCTAGCAGCTCCCTCTAGGGGAGAGGTGAGATCTTGCAAGCAGTAGCAAGAGCACACAGGAAACCCCTAACTTTCCTATACCCCAACCCTCTCTTCCCCTTTCTGTCCCCGAATACCTGGCGGCAAGAGACCTCTTGGCTATTGTCCTTGCTCCCAGAATCAAGCATAAATGCCAGACAAGGCGATTGAGAAGCCAATCAATGCACCCTTTGGCAAGCCCCCATCCACACCTGGCACTCCCCTCTACCAATCCCTGGCACAGGGTTCCTGGAGAGCAGGTGCTGTACATTTTCCAGCTTTACAATGGGGCTGTTGACAGCCATAATTAGGAAGGCATGAATTATGCGGCTGTAGTGCAGAGCCCTACAATTAAGGCGGGAATGAGGGGCTGGAGGCAGCAAATGGAATCTGCCCTATGAGTGTGGCTGTTGAATCCTGTCTCCTGGGTCTGACTTTCCGTAATATGATTGGGGTACAGTAGAGGTGATTAATGGGGCTGGCATCGCTCTTTGGCCTGAGGTTCTCTATTCTGGGAAAGGTACACAGGGTGGAGTAGGGAGAAGCCGCCCCAGGAGGCGGTGTAGGGGTGGAAAGAAGAGGCAGAGAGGTCGTCGTCGTCGCCCAGCAGCAAGGGCTGCAAAACAGTTGAACTCCTGGTTGCTTTGGACATGTATGATTTGTACAAGCCAGGTTCAACCGTTGCCTCAAGAAATCAGATGGGACCAATTTAGTGTCCTTGCACCTGTAAGCGAAGCCCCCATTTGAGGACATATATCGTATTGTGTTCTGGGTTTCAAATAGAATTTTTAAAGATTCTTAGATGTAAAACTTGTTTGCTAACTGCAACGGAAGAACACCTTGTTTTGCTGCTGCAATTGCCTACCCTCCCTCAGGTGCACTTGGCTAGCTCCAAGACCCTGGCTTTGGACTAGGAGGCACTGGAAGAGCCCTTTTGCCATGACACCACCTGTTCCTCTACTTGTTTCCTAATTCCCAGGCGCTTTCCTCCACCCTCCTTTTCCTCGCGCAAGTGAAAGGCAGCCAGCTTGACAGTGTGGAAGGAGGGATTTCGCCAGCTGCGGCTGCAGTGCCCAGGCTTGGTGGCCGCGTCGGGTGGGGGCAGCTGGGCTAGATGTCTCCGAGGGGGGTAGAGTTGTAGGGGGAGGGGAGTGCTGGTAGACCTCGGCGGCCGCTCTCCACCATACTGTGACAGGGTCTGGAGGTTTGGGAATATAGGGACCTTAAGGGAGCCACCCGACAGGCGTTGGGGGTGGGGGCTTCGATAGTATTTGGGGAGGCGGCTGCGCAACGGGTGCTGAAAGGACAGCTCCTACCTGCCCCACGGCACCCAAAAGGCACCTCTGCATGGAAAGTCTCCCCCTGAAACCCCTAGCCCACCTCGAGTGGGACCGTCTTTCAGGTGAGGTGCACGAAAGGCTTTCCCGAAGTGGCAGCTCGGAAGGATGCACGTCCGGCTGCGCCAAGCTGGCTTCCCCGCCTTTTTCCCACTTCGGCGTCAGCCTGGGCCCTGGGAACTGCAGCCTGTGCCTCCAGCCGCGCGCTTCCTTCTGCCTCCAGTGGAGCAGGGCAGTGCAGCCAGGCCTCGCAAACCCCTCTTCTGGGGCCCCCAGCGGGAGCAGGAAGGAAAGCCGCTGAGATGCGCCCTGAGTGTCGCATGGCTTGGAGAAGTGGGTTGCTGGGTTGCATAAGGTGGAAGGAACTTGCTAGTTTGCAAAAGACAGCTCTTGGCGGGAGCCGGAACCCCGAGCCTGCCGACTCGCGCACCCCTCCTCATTTACTGCCTTAGACGCGCGCCTCCCCGACTGCGCCCCCACCCCCTCGGCGCGCCGCCGTCTCGCGCGCACTACCCCCCCCCACACCCCCCTCCTCACTCCCTCCAGAGGAGGTGAGTTTAAACCCCGCCCACGTGACCCCAGCTGGGCCAATGAACGGCGGCGGGAGGTGAAATCCGGTTCTAACCGGTCCGGGGCTCCCAGCGCTATAAAAACTTTATAAACCCCCCGGAGCCCGAGCAGTGTGAAGAAGAAGAGGCGAGAACGACCCCCGGACCGACCAAAGCCCGCGCGCGCTGCATCCCGCGTCCAGCACCTACGTCCCGCCGCCGTCGCCACCATGCCCAAGAGAAAGGTACGTGGCGCGAGGGCCGCAGGCGCTGGGCCGCCACTGCCGCCGCCGCCGCCGCCTCCCTGGTGCAGGGCGCGAGAATCGGCGCCGGGCAGGAGCTAGCGCGGCCTCCCCGCGCGGGGGCTCGAGGCGGTTTCGGGCGTCTCGGGGCTAACCCTGAGTGGCTTGGCTGCCCGCGGGCGCCAGAGGCCATATTGGAGGAGCGGCGGCCGCGGCGGGAGGAGCCATGTTGGCGGCTGTTTATCCCGCTCTCCTCGGGCTCGCCGCCCCCGCCTCGTGCCCCCTCCCCCATCGCCAGGGCCCCTTCCCTCCCCTCCCTGCGGGCGGGCAATTCAAACCCGAAAGGGCGGGAAGGCGGCGCTCGGGGTTGGCGGGCGGGGGAACGCGCTGCCGCCAAAAAACCGCCGCCGTGAGGGGGCGGGGTTTGTGTGGTATGGCCCCGCCCCCTCGCCCACGTTCCCGGCGCACGAGACGCGCGCTGCCGCCGCCCACGAGTTCCCCGGGCTGCGCGCGCCTCCCTCTCCCGCCCTCGACGGCTGCCATGGCAACGGCGCTGGGCTCCGCCTCCGGAGGGGGTTTGTTTGCGCCATCTGCAGCTGTTGCTCCTGCCTGGCGCGGTGGTGCGGGCTCGGCTGCCCTCCCCGGCTGCGCTCCGGCTTCAGCCCTGGCTTCTCGGGGTCGGCGAGCTGGGGCTCCTGCGCGCGCTTCGTTCTTATACGAACGTCGGGCTCACTTATTTGTTTATGTCCTAAAAAAGTTGTGTGGACGACTGCTTTAATTTTCTTTGTTAGCACTCTAAAGTTTAGTAAAGAACTAAGAACCACGTCAGAAGCTGCAGTGTTTTGTTCTTGTTTCTTATAGGCTGAAGGGGATGCTAAAGGAGATAAAGCCAAGGTGAAGGACGAAGTAAGTCATTCTCTCTTCAAGGGTCAAAGCCTTGGACTAGCAGAGGCCACTGGACTCGGTGATTAACCTGTGTCCTGAATTTACACTCCTATAATCTAGAGCCAGTTGATACCAAACTTTTCAAAGCGACTTACCTGTTCTAATTTTCTCGTTGTCTTTAATAGCCACAGAGAAGATCCGCGAGGTTGTCTGCTGTAAGTGTATGCTTTTGAATTTTCGTATTTGTCCCTGAACCAAAAAACATCAAAAAACAATTCCCTTTGCTTCCCATGAGTTATGGTTAGTGCCTGGTTTTGAATGATTGCCTCTACTTCGGACTCTTGCCCCTTTGGGTTTTGCTGGTTCTGAAATTTTGATGCGTGTAGCCAAAGTGGGACATTTGAGTGGGCTTCTGGAGATCGAACATTCTAGAAGAAAGCGAGCCACAAAAACTTTGAGGAGGAGAAACTTCTCTGCCTTTGGTACTTTTGGTTGGTTGGTTGGTCGGTCGGTCGTGGGTGGTTTTCTTCAGTCCATTGTACTGATGTTCAATTTTTCCTCTCTTCCTGCCAAAAAAAAGAAACCTGCTCCTCCAAAGCCAGAGCCCAAGCCTAAAAAGGCCCCTGCAAAGGTAAGTGCTAACATTGGAACTGATCATTTTCACAGAATGAGGACTGTTCTTAGTGCCTTAACTTAATTAGCATAATGGTGCCTCCATTAATGGAGGTTATAAACTGGATAGTTTGCCTCATCCCTGTCATTCATACCGTTGGTTTCATGATCAAGAGTTGTTTCGTTAGTTTGTAGGAAAATATCTATTTAAATATTAAATACCCCAGGGTTTAAACTGATTTATTTTTCTGTTACTTAGATAGGAAATTTTAAGTAGTAAAGATTATAGCAAATTACATATAATTTAGCCTAGTTTTGATCAGTTGTTCTTGTCAACTGATCAAGGGTTTGTGTTTTATCTTCAGTAAACAATCCTACCTTGTGCAGAACTTTGCAGACCATACCTTGGGAATATGAAATGGGGAGAAATAGTTCTATTTTTTCCCCTTTTTCAGAAGGGAGAGAAGGTACCCAAAGGGAAAAAGGGAAAAGCTGATGCTGGCAAGGAGGGGAATAACCCTGCAGAAAACGGAGATGCCAAAACAGACCAGGTATAACTGCTGTTTCACCCTTTGTTACATTTGCTCATTCAGTTAGTTGCTGATCTCAAAAACTTAATTGCCTTTTTTTAATATCACTCCAAATGTACCATTTGGTCCAGAATCTGCTTGTGGCTTTCCTGTTAACTTTTAAGTCCTAGATTCTTGAAATCTCTACTGTCAGCTGAAGGGCATTGTGTTTTATACTACATAAAGTTTTCAAGCTAGAAGTAACTTCAGGTCTCTAATTCTGGTGTTCCTTCTACCTCAGTTTTACAATAAGGCCCAGAGGAGAGGTGACTTAGCATAGTTACCTAGTAAGTCATTCTCAGAAGAAATACTGAGTCTCAGAACCTGAAACCTGAACTTTGGCCTGGGAGCAAAATGATGCTGTAGGTGGAATGTGAACAAAGATAGTTTTGAAATCTACACATTCATTAATTTGTCTGTTTTCTTTTAGGCACAGAAAGCTGAAGGTGCTGGAGATGCCAAGTGAAGTGTGTGCATTTTTGATAACTGTGTACTTCTGGTGACTGTACAGTTTGAAATACTATTTTTTATCAAGTTTTATAAAAATGCAGAATTTTGTTTTACTTTTTTTTTTTTTTTTTAAAGCTATGTTGTTAGCACACAGAACACTTCATTGTTGTTTTTGGGGGAAGGGGCATATGTCACTAATAGAATGTCTCCAAAGCTGGATTAATGTGGGGAAAACACCTTTCCCTTCTAGTTTTGAGAGACTTCCTCTTGGTTCCCAGGAGGAGGGAGTCCCTGACTTTTGACACACATGGCCACCTTGGCACAAAAGCCTTGTGGTATGGAAAAACAAATTTGTTTTTATGTCCTCTTCTCCCTTTCCATCTTTCAGCATAGACTTAACTCCCTTAAGCCCAGACATCTGTTGGGACCTGACCCATAGTCATTGGTTACCAGTGTGTCAGGCAATCTGGACTTTCCAGTGATGCCACTGAGATGGCACCTGTCAAAACAGCATTGGTTCCATTTCTAGATTGTGGATCTTCAGATAAATTCTGCCATTTTCATTTCACTTCCTGAAAGTCAGGGTCGGCTTGTGAAAAGTTGTTAAACAACATGCTAAATGTGAAATGTCAACCCTCACTCTAAACTTTCCCTGTTCAGAGCATCAGATGAAGACTTCATTGGGTTTTATAGTGGCTTTCTGATTTTTGGTAGTCCATTGAAGAAGGGAGTTTGAAAGTTGTTGTATACTGTTAACGATTGTCTGCCCATGTCCTGCCTGAAATACCATGATTGTTTATGGAAAGTATCTTTAATAAAGCTGGATACAGTTTGGCTTGGAATGCTGCCTCTGATCTTTTCCCACAAGTGGGGTAACCTGGTTTATCCAAGTCTCTTGGAACAGGGTGCATTCTGCTTTGAGGTATTCTGTGTACAGTCTAATGATGATCTTTCACTGATTAATAGTCAGTTTCCAAAACACACAGTGCTAGGTGGAGTTAGGAAGGATTCCAGGAGTAGATTTAGCTAGTGGTGAAAGGCTGGGAGTATGGAGTGATTTCTGTACTTGGTTATGCAGCATTCCCTGCAGTGTTTGTTTTTTGCATGACTCCGAATACATGAAGTGTATTAAATGCAGATTTTTGGTAGATCTGAGGTTTTGCCTTGGTAGCTGACAGGAGTCTCTCTACTTCAATCTGCATTTGCAACCTCTATAAAATTAGTAAATTAATAGACTCATGTCAGAGAGGGCCTGTGCCCCTGTGAATGTGTGCACAATTGTCTATTTGTAAGGTAGATGACACTTTGCTCTAAGTAGACCTGCAGGCAAAGACAGAATGGGGTCTTTCCTGATTCTTTAGTTTGGAGATGCAGAGAACCCCACGTTTCTCTAAGTGAAATGGCAAAAAGTTACTTGTTAGAATATGGAACTTGTAACAAATTGATGTTTGCACCTTAAATTTGCTTTCACAGACCTCCTGGCTGTATTGGACAGGAATAAAGAAAGTTGGAGACTACAATTGCCTTGTCCATTCCCTTGGTCAAAAAAGTATCAGTTAAGCTCATGAGGTTTTTTGTGTATTATCTCTCAAGTGTTGAGACGTTTGTGTAATGTAAGTACCACACTCATGGATGAGGAAGCAGGCACAGATGAAGAAACTTGTTGAAGGTTATGTGTACATCTCATGAGCAGCAGAGTCAGGATTCAGACCCTCAACTAGAAAAAAGTCATCTCTGACAGACATTCAGGATAAAATACCATCTGTCCATGTAGCCAATTACTAGCCATTTTCATTATTGCTGAAGTCATTCTAGGTTGTAGATGGGTAATTTTCTTTCTAAAAGTGGTGTCCTCTTCCATAGGAAACAGAGATGTCTTAGAGTGTTCAGGGGTAGTAGGCTGCTATTTGAGCAGAGGTTGCAGAATTTGAGAAAGCTATAGCTGGGGTTCTTTGTCGGTGGCAAGTCTGCTGAGCCCTGAGCTATGCTAGCATCTCTGCCTCATGCGCTTTAATCTTTGAGTCAGTCCTGTGAGATACAGGTGTAGCCCCATTTTGTAGTTGAGAGTGAGGCTCAGATGTGAAGCAACTGGCTGAGGTTAAACTTGATAGTCTGTTTTTACTTATTTTCTGGCCCTCTTCTTGTTGCCAAATAATTACGATGAGTAGGGTGAGCTTGAACTTTTTGGAGTTTTTTTTTTTTTCCCTTCCTGGAAAATACTGATTTGACTGGCTCTGGACCATGAAAGTAGCTGGGTCTAAAACCAAACCAGACATCAAAACATGGTAAGGACCATTCACTAAGACAGCCATAGTAGCATGCTCAGTGCCAGCACTGTCTCCAGGCCCATTCTTACGATCTCAGGAAAAGTCACCAGATGCTTGGGCTCTAAGTAAAAAAAAAAAAAAAAAAAGTAAAATAAATGGCACTAACTAGAGGATTCATCTGATACAAGTCCCGAGGTTGGGCAGTTGTGAGGACCCAGGTGGGCTTCCCATCTTTCTGCTCTGCTGCCCTCAACATGTTCTCCAGCCACCTCACCTTCAAGGCAGTTGTTCCAGGCATTGTAACTTGCCATACCAATGGCAAGAGACTGGAGGACTGCTGCTTTTTTCCCTGTATTTAAGAATAATGAAATATGGCCGGGCGCGGTGGCTCAAGCCTATAATCCCAGCACTTTGGGAGGCCGAGACCATCCTGGCTAACACAGTGAAACCCTGTCTCTACTAAAAAAAATACAAAAAACTAGCTGGGCAAGGTGGCAGGTGCCTGTAGTCCCAGCTACTCGGGAGGCTGAGGCAGGCCACTGCACTCCAGCCTGGGCGACAGAGCGAGACTCCGTCTCAAAAAAAAAAAAAAAAAAGAATAATGAAATATTTCGTTCAAGTACCATAGCAGCCTGTGTTTCATTGGGCAGATCTGGATTACCTCTCCATTCCTAAACCAATCGTAGCAAGAGGAGTGAAACCACAGAATCTGCTTAGACCAGTCAGGATTGTTGGAATTCAATAGAGGAGGGATCATGATAGAGGAAGATGGCTGTTGTGTGGATAGCCTGCTGCATGGTCTCTTCAGGCCTGGCCTGACTGATTGCAGCAGTTAACACTGCTGAGAATTACTCTTCCCCTTCTTTAAATTGAGAAATAATCATATGCCATTAAACGTCACCACTTTATTATTATTTTAGGAGATGGAGTCTTGATGTGTTGCCCAGGCTGGTATTCAACTCCTGGGCACAAAGCAGTCTTCCCACCCTGGCCTCCCAAAGTGCTGGCCACCACACCCAGCCAAAATTCACCATTTTAAAGCATATACTACAGTGGTGTTAGTACATTCACAACATTGTGCAACTATTGCCACTATCTAATTCTGGAATATATATGTGTATATATGTGTGTATAACTATTGCCACTAATTCTGGAATATATACGTGTGTGTGTATATACATACATGTATATACACATGTATATATATACACGCACACATATATACATATATTTTATATATATATATTTCTTTATGAGATGGAGTGGTCTCACTGTGTCACCCAGGCTAGATTGCAGTGGTATGATCTCAGCTCATTGCTCACTGTAGCATCTGTCTCCCAGGCTCAAGCTCCCACCTCAGCCTCCCAAATAGCTAGGACCACAGGCACAAACCACGGCTGGCTAATTTTTTCTGGTTTTGGTAGAGACAGGGTTTCACCATGTTGCCCAGACAAGTCTTGAACTCCTGACCTCAAGTGATCTGCCTGCCTTCGCCTCCGAAAGTGCTGGGATTATAGGCATGAGCCACCCTGCCCAGCCTCTGAATGTTTTCATCACCCTAAAACTCCATGCCCATTAGCAGTTAACTCCCCATTTCTTCCTCCCCCCATCCCTAGACAATCACTAATTTCTGTCTCTAGACTTTTTCTGGATATTTCATCTAAATGGAATCAGTCTGTGGTTTTTCTCGACTGATTTCTTTCACTTAGCATGTTTTCAAGGTTCTTCCATGTCGTATGTATTTGATAACTTGTACTTCCAAATAACATTCCATTGTGGGAGACTCCGTCTCAAAAAAATAAATAAAAATAAAAATTTCATAGAGACAAGGTCCCACTATGTTGCCCAGGCTGGTCTAAAACTCCTGAGCTCAAGTGATCCTCCTGCCTCCGCCTCCCAAAGAGCTGGGATTATAGGCATGAGCCACCATGCCCAGCCACATAAACAGTTTTTGTTTTTTGTTTTTCTGAGACGGAGTCTCTGTCGCCCAGGCTGGAGTACAGTAGTGCGATCTCGGCTCACTGCAACCTCTGCTGCCGGGTTCAAGCAATTCTCCTGCCTCAGCCTCCCAAGTAGCCAAGATTACAGATGTGTGCCGTCATGCCCAGCTAATTTTTGTATTTTTAGTAGAGATGGGGTTTCACCATGTTGGCCAGGCTGGTCTCGAACTGGTTGGGCTCAAACTCCTGACCTCGTGATCCACCTGCCTCAGCCTCCAAAGTGCTAGGTTTACAGGCGTGAGCCACCGTGCCTGGCCCTAAACAGTTTTTAAAGCCATGGTCCTAGGCCGCATCTCCAAGGATTCTGACTCTGTGGGTCTGAAGCAGGGCCCAAAAACTGCGTTGCTAAGTTCACAGGTATGCTGATGCACTAGTCCCCAAGAGAATGGTGGCGTGGACTAGGTTGTGTCTCATCCTGGTGTTAACCTTGGCCGTTGGGAAAGAGGTGACTGAGGAAAGGATTAAAATGCCAATACTAGACTTGGAAAGGTGGGAGTGTGGTGAGGGATGAGAAATTACCTGATGGAGGCTGGGCGTGGTGGCTCATGCCTGTAATCCCAGCACTTTGGGAGGCCAAGGTGGGCGGATCACCTGAAGTCAGCAGTTTGAGACCAGCCTGACCAACGTGGAGAAATCCCATCTCTACTAAAATTAAAAAATTAGCCAGGCGTGGTGGTGCATGCCTCTAATCCCAGCTACTCGGGAGGCTGAGGCAGGAGAATCGCTTGAACCTGCGAGGCAGAGGTTGCAGGGAGCCGAGATTACGCCTGGGCACTCTAGCCTGGGCAACAGGAGTGAAACTCCATCTCGGGGGGAAGAAAAAAAAAAAAAGAGAAATTACCTGATGGATACAGTTCATACATGCACACTCTTCAGGTGATGGTTGCACTAAAAGCCCAGACTTCAACACTAACCAAAGTATCCACATAATGCAACTTCATGTATGCCCCCTAAAAATATATTTAAACAATTTAAAAGCTGACACTTTATTTGGGAGGTGCAAGAATGATCCAATAGAAGTAATGGATAAGGCAAGTGAGGAGGTACCTGTGTGGGCTTAGTCTTAGAGGAGCAGAGGGATAGGTCCTGATCACAAGTTGAAAGTTTGGCTTTAGAGATTTCCCCCATCATAGGAAGGGACCCAAAGGGCGTGTGCACTGTGCTGCAGGTAGGTAGTAGAGGAGATGGTGGGAAGACAAGGTAGCTCTCTTCTCACCACATCTTCTATCACCATGAAGTATGAAGGGAAATTGCTGATGAGGGTGAAGAAAGCAGGAGGTTGGAGATGGGAATGAGGTGAAGGTGTGAAATAGTCTATCCAAGACAGGAAAGGTGCCTATATTAGGGAAGTGTAATTAGAGAGTTTTGCAGTATTGAGGGCCCATTTGAAATCTGCGGTTGTAACTATGAGGTGCGTCTAGTTAGCACGATGGTGTAGTACTCTTATGCAATGTCCAGCTGTTTGGGTACAGGTGCCAGCTAAGTACTGGGTTAAGTGTGATAGAGAAGGGCGTTCAGTGTCTAACTCCCTTCGTGCTGGACCATAGAATCTAAGCTGACAAAGAAGGTATGTGA